TTATTATTATTATTATTATTATTATTATTTTCCCCGCATATGTTAGCATTCATCTGGGCCAGGAAAAACAAGCAATGCCCTGGCACTGTCCTTCCTCCCTGGGGCTCCTCTTCTTCCCCATCCCTCCTGCTGGAGGGATCAGGCTGGAACTCCGCTCCCCCACAGCTCCTCCTCATTTTGCTTCTGTACCGGCCCAGAACGTTACTTAGGGCTCTGGGTGATACCTGAGCTAAAAGAAAAGCTTATGAGAGGAAAATAAAACAGGCGGGGAGCAGGGGGGGGAGTGTTAAAGGTTGATACACCTCCCTAGACTCCAGCCACTGAGGCTTCCTGAAGGACTGCTCTTCCCACCTCCCCAGCAGCATCTCTTGGGAAACACGAGCTCGTCACATTTTCAAGGTCTCACTTGGACATCATGTGGTTCTGGCCACCCTCCAAAAAATAACTCCTCCGTGCCACAGTGGTGAGCTCAGCCCTGCATGCTAACCCAGCTGCTGACAGCCTTGCCCAGGCGGTGACATTGAGCCATGCTGGCTCCGGCAGCTCCCGGCAGGAGATGGAGCAGTCACTTTGATTCATTTAGACTGGCTGATCACATCCGTTTACTCACATATACACCAAAAAAACCCCCCATCGGGGCATACCAGGCATCTTTAACCCCCATCCATTGTCAGAAAGATGCAGGTGGAAAGCTCTGACGGGAACCAGTGTCCCCGCTTCACAGCAGCCACGACCCCTCTTTGCAACCACGCACAGTGATGGTAGAGAGAAGCAGAAATGGGAGCAGTGATTTAGTATGGGGAGGATTGCTTACCTTGATTTATTCCTCCTGGGACCTGCAGGTGCTGCCGCTTCATCGTCACTGGGTGCCAAACAAGCCAGCAAAACTCGTTTCCGCAGACTTAAACCATATGCAAAGGTGTTTCTTTTCAGAACAGGCAGAAAACACGATCCTTTAGTCTTCTCTGGGGTGGGATCACAACACAGGCATTTGGGTCCCTTAACAGGAGAAGAGGAATCCATTTTTATACCCAAGCAAACCCACACCAAGCTCTTCTGCTGCACAGAGGTGTTACCGAGGGTTTCCCTCCATGTCAGCTCGGTCCCAGCACAGATTAAGGTGGAGGCAGCGGTTTAGGATGTAGAAGCTCTGTGGATGTCAGCCAAGGGGTGGGATTGTATAGATCATCTCCATAACACCCCAGGGCTACGCCCGTGCCGGGAGGTGAAACTGCAGATGACAGATTGATGGCATGAAGGGGCCCATCATCCTACGTGTCCTCATCATGGCCGGATGCATCCCTCACCCCTCACCGTCTGGGACAGACCCAGCTGGCATGGCTAACCATGGCCACCGCTCCCGGTGCTGCCTGACCACCAGCACTGCCGAGACAAGGATCACCGATCCTTGGTGGGTCAAGGTGGTCAAGAATGGTCAAGGTAGTCCAGGATGGTCAGGGATGATCATTCATGAATGATGCTGGTCAAAGACAAGAGGGAGACATTGCCCAAACCCACCATCACCACCACTGCAGTGGGGACCAAGGCCCGGGGTCCCCCCCCCCAGCCTCTGCTGCTCCCTCCCAAAATCCTCGAGTGCCACAGCCCCTGCAGGAGCCCAGCACAATTCTGACCCCCATCCTCAGCCCATGCAATCTCCCACCCCATCATCCCCCATAGCTCCCACTCCAGCCCATGCCCCCCAAACCCCATCCAGGCAGTGCACCCCCAGCCTCCCCATCTCTTTGCAGATGTGCCAAGCTCTTGCTGAGACACGGGGCCACTGTCGACCTGCCCAGCGAGGACGGGGGGGAGACGGCGCTGCACGTGGCGGCCAGGCACTGCCTCTGTGACCATGCCCACCTCTACCTGCGGCACGGGGCACACGTTGATGCACGCAGCGCACGGGAGGAGACAGCCCTCAGCATCCTCTGCGGGCAGGCACTGGGCACCAGTGAGGGCTGCCTGCAGCTTTGCCGGCTGCGGGCTGCCCACGGTCCCGACATCCACGCCCGGGATGAGATGTGGAGGAGCCCCTTGCACAAGGCGTGTGGGGCTGCCAACGCCAGCCTGGCACGCTTCCTCCTGCGGCGTGGGGCCGACGTCAATGCCATCGACTACGATGGCGTCTCCCCACTGGGCTGCGCGCTGCAGAGTGCCGCCTTCAAGCAGGAGCTGCAGCCCCACCTCGCTGTCCAACTACTGCTCAACCACGGCTCGCAGAAGATATGGCCCCCTGCCTTCATCAAGGTACCAATCCCAAAACAGCCCCTGTGCATCCCCTCGCACCCAGGATTTTACAATTGGGGTCGGGGTGCTTTGGGAAATAAAAAGCTGGGGGGTTAGGAGAATCTGGGAGAGCCTCGCGGTCCGGGCAGGGATAGGGGACCATGGCATTGGGGTTGGCAATGCTGCTGGGAATGATGGAAATGAAAACACCCATGCAGGGTGGCAGTGGGGAAAAGCAGGCAGGGCGAAGGGCAGGATGGAGCCAGCACGGGCCAGGAAGACTGGCAAGGAGGATTTTTTCCTGCCTGGGGATGTCAGAGACAGGCTTGCTACATCAACCATCAGTGCAGCTGCCTTATGGCTCTGCGTTTCATTGATTTTACATCAAACAATAAAGAAAATATTATCCTGGCTTATCACACACAAGCCAAAAATGTAAATAAGAAGCAAGGGCCGCATCCAAAGGAAGAAGTGCCACAGCAAGGCAGGTCTTCCCACCACTTCACAGACAGAGAAAGATCTCCAAAGCATGCCAGGACAAACCTTACACCGGCCTCATACCGACACGGGATCATCCCAGCCTGGACTGCGGCAGGGTGGGACAAGCCCCGGCTGCAGCACGTGGATGCTCTGCCCCCCTGGGACATGCATCTCTGT